CCTTTTCCTTTGCTTTCTCTTCCAGTGTTTTTAGAACTTGTATCAATTCTCTTTTGCTTCTAGCAACAAATGCGAACGCTAAACATTGGTGCTTTATACTGTATAATAAACCATTTCCTACTTAAATTTGATGTTCTGATCATATCTGCCAATACATAGTTAAATAAAACTGTTGACAATGGATTTCCTTGCCGCAGCCCCACTTTTACCTTGAACCTGTCAGAATATGTTCCTTTAACTTTTGTTCTATTTTCCGTTTCCTGAAGTGTCAACCTTATTAGCCTTATAGTCTTTTCACCATTTCCTAGTCCTCTTAGTGCTTGGTATACTGCCGATCTTCGGATTGTATCATATGCTTTTTTGAAGTCAATAAACAATACATATGTATCTTTCTGATGTTGATAACTCTCAGCCTGGATCTCTCTAAGCGTAAAAATTTGGTCCACCAATCCCCTTCCTGCTCTAAGCCCACATGGGTAGTCTCCCGTTCTTCCTAACATTTTCGATAAAAGTCTACTCTTAATACAGGTCGCTAGCACTTTATATCCAACATTCAATAGGGCTACCCCTCTATAGTTTTCACAGATTTTTTTCCCCCATTTTTAAACATTGGGCTTATTACTCCATTACTCCATTCATGCGGCATTCCTTCTGTTTCCCAAATTTCCCCTATCAAACTGTACATTACCTCAATAACTTTGTCATCTCCGAATTTCAGCATTTCGCCAAAATGTTATATGTGCATTTACCCTTTTAATTTCTCGAAATCTGTTAACTATACGACATGTTTGGTTAGAAGCAAAATAATAAAGAATTTAATTCCCTACAAAATTGTTCCGCCTACTTTTTTACATAGGACCGATGGTTTTCGAAATTTTCGATCAAATTGGCGGCAAATGCTCCAGCTCCACAATTTGCACGCATTACTACTAATATTTAAAACTGTAATGACTCATACGCGTGATCAACGCGTGATCAGAGCTCGGTCCCGGCTTCCTTCCAGTACAGCCGTATAGCGTACGACATATGTCGTTTCTGTGGCTTTGCAGTGGTCAACAGCACAGACAGAGATGGAAATAATGGCTGATTGTTCTCCGCCGGTAGAACCAATGAAATCAAAGACGCGCCTCGACCGGCAGACTCATAGGCGTCGGCAACGCTTTGGAACGTGTTTCGTTGAGCGATCGCATATTGTGTGTTTTTATAAGAATTGTTGTGTGATTGTTATTGTTGTGGTTTCTGTGGTTACTGTTTTGGTTATACTTAATCATGGAGAGTACAAATGGCACGAGAGGAAGTACTGAAAGCCAGGGAACAAGTAGACGGCTTCGTAAAGCACTGAAGAGGGACGCGAAAGAAATCGTGCTCAACGTGTTCAATTATCTGAACAGAACTATGTCGCAGGGAGATGCACTCGCGCATTGTGAAAGTTTGACAGGCGTTCCAGAGTGGACCATTCGCAGGGTGGTGCTTGCAAAGAAGAAAACTGGAGCTACTACTGACCCAAAGTTTAATTTGAAGGGACGAAAGGCCGTTAAATTGGATGACGATAGCAAAATGGCGTTAAGGCGAACCGTACATTCATTCTTCTTTAGGAATGAGATACCAACCCTCAAGGCTGGACATGCAGCGATCAAGGAAAATGAAATTATACCCCAAATGAGCGTCGAGGTAAGGAGGAAATCCCTGCACGAAATTAATTTTCGTTACGAAACGCGTAATCGGAAGTCAGTATTGATAGAGAGATCTGAAATAGTCGCCTGGCGTCGAAAATACCTACGCGAAATGATTGAATATAGGCGACAAAGCAGAAAAATCTATTACTTGGACGAGACATGGGTAAATGCAGGTCACACCGTTAAAAAAAACTTGATAGACAAAAACGTAGTGAGTAACCGACAAGCAAGCATTGAAGGTTCGTCAACAGGTCTTCGTGGACCGTCAGGGAAAGGTCAAAGATTGATCGTAACTCATATTGGTAGCGATAGTGGCTTTTTAGAAGAGTGTGACTTGATTTTCGTCTCTAAGAAAGGAGGTGATCACCATGACGAAATGAATGCCAGCTGCTTCGAGAGCTGGTTTCAAGGGGTGCTTCAGCGAGTTGAGCCCAACTCTGTGATCGTCATGGATAATGCTTCCTACCATAGTCGTCGAGCCGAACGTGTACCGACTATGGGATCTCGAAAAAGTGACATGCAGCAATGGTTGCGCGAAAAAGGAATCCCGTTTGACGATTCATGTGTGAAAGCGGAATTGTATGAAAAAATTAAACAGCACAAACCTTCAAACATTAGTTACGTGACTGATGAGATGGCCCGTCAATGTGGTGTCACGTGCTGCGGTTACCGCCCTACCACTGTGAACTGAACCCAATAGAGCTCATCTGGGCTCAAGTGAAGGGTTATATTGCGAGCCATAACACAACCTTCAAATTACCAGACGTTAAGGTTTTACTTGAGACTTCCATACAGCTAGTAACGCCCGAAGCTTGGCAGAATGCTATCCGTCATGTTGTGAAGGAAGAAACAAAAATGTGGCAGCTTGACCACCACATCGACACCATCATAGAGCCAGTTATCGTCAATTTCAACGAGGAAAGCGATAGCGACAGTTTATTGCTGTCAGATATAAGTGGAAGCGACGATGAATAAAGGTAATTCCCAAATTTTTGACTTACAATATGTTTCAAATCACTCTTTATTAAGCATGTGACAAATCTAGTTCACCCATGTTAAACATTCATACCCCGCCTATGAACAGCCGACTACTGGTAGTAAAGTGATGTTCACGTGAACATCGATGAGTCATTACAGTTTTAGATAGTTATGGTAGTATAGGAGACAATAACCTAATAATACCACAAAAAATTACTTCCCCAAAAATTGTAGGATTTCCTTATACAATATCTCCCTTCTTGAGCTACATTAGATATACAGCAACATGTTAAATGATTTCTCTTCAGAAAAATATAAAAAAAAGATTGCATTATTTATATTTATATCAGCACAGTACGTTTTACACCAAATTACACATTTGCTTTGGTCTACTAGAAAAACATTCAATTTCATATAAATTCATTTCACTGTTAAGAGTGCCTTGACACTTAATATACTGAACCTTCCTTAGTATTGCCAATATTTTTACATTTGCCACACTGACATAAACTTTGCACTACTAGCTTTGAAATCGAACATCATTCTTCTGAAAAATACTCCACTCAGTTTGCTTAGTAGGAAAGCTTTCTTTGCTATATTGCAATGCCTTTTGTTAGAAATATTCCGCCAGTCCGACGTATACTAAGTGACATATAAATCCGAACACCCAGTTTAAATGGTTTTATTTTAATAAAAGTTGGTGAATGTATTTATCTTACTGTAAATAACAAGTGAAAAAATTTTCAGCCTTATCAGTTGGACATTCCGGTTTTTATACTGCTTTTTTTTAAATCACTAACGCTCTAAAAATGAATATTTCAGCCGCAGTAAAGAATCAACGTTGGCGGATTATGGTTCTTGACATCCTTTACGTTCGGTTTCGATGCCTAGAGTACGGAGACCTATACGATTTCGTCAACTTAGTGAGTTTGATAGGGGCCGTATAGTGGGACTTCGGGAAGCTGGACTTTCTTTTCGGGCAATTGCAGTTAGAGTGCAAAGAAGTGTAGACACTGTGGTTAGGTGTTGTCAGGCATGGCTTCGAGAAGGCCGTACGCAAAGAGCAAGGGGCACTGGACGCCGCCGTAGAACAACAGACCGTGAAGATCGCCGCCTAAGATTATTGGCCTTAAGGGACCGTTTCTCCACTACCAGGTCCATTGCAAATGAATGGTTTGCAGAACACAGAAGACCTATTGGCATGCGAAGTGTTTACCGACGAATGAGAAGTTTTGGCTTGTTTTCATACCGGCCACACTGGGTCCTCCCTTTAACTCGAGAACACCGACGTAATCACCTGAGTGGTGCAGACAACGGTCACTCTGGGATCAGGAATGGAACAGTATTGTCTTTAGTGACGAGTCTCGATTTTGTTTAGGCATGCACGATGGTCGTGCCAGGGTTAGAAGGCGACGTGGTGAAAGGAGGAATCCACAGTTTTTTGTTGAAAGACATGTTCCTCACACTGTATAGCTTATGGTTCCAGGTCACTGTTAATCTTCATCAGAGGTAACATGAACGCGCAGCGTTATATCCACGAAGTTCTAGAACCCCATCTTTTACCCTATCTTGACACCCTGGCAGATCCAACTTTCCAACAAGATAATGCCCGACCACATGTTGCAAGAGTCACAATAGACTTCTTTCAACATAATGATGTCACATTGTTACCATGGCCACCAAGATCTCCCGACTTATCCCCAATTGAGCACGTGTGGGATATGATGGGTAGGAGATTGCTCAATTTGAAACGTCCTCCTCAGACTCTAGAAGCACTTCGTGAGGAGTTGGTGGTTGCCTGGAATGAGATACCACAGGAGGACATTGACCACCTGATCAGAAGCATGCCTAGGCGCTTTGTTGAATCCGTAGCACATCAGGGTGCATCCACACATTATTAAAGGTCAAAGGGCTTTAAAGCAGTGCAATCATTTTGAAATTTTTATCATTTACTTATTATGCTTCATTAAGTACTTATACAAAATTTTATTAAAATAAAACCATTTAAACTGGGTGTTCGGATTTATATGTCACTTAGTATATTTACATGCTACAGCCCACGGAAACTTGCACAAGAAACGGACGTGGATTAAACAGATTGAACAGGGGCGGCCAGAATATGGTATCTATCAAGGATACAAGCTATTTGTTATTCACAACCTTGTAAGGGTTCATCATCACTACTGGAGTCCAGAGTACCCACAGGCCTAAAAACATAACTTTGATCTTCTGAAAAGCAACGTGGTCAACTTCAAATGGCTTGCATAGCTGTCTTTGTATATAAAGAAGCAGCTGCAGGTCCAGCCATTATTACATATAACACAGTGCCTATATCTTTCCAAATATTCAGCCTGGCCTAGTATTCCCAACTTCTTTACATTGCTCACACTCACACAAACCTTGCACGAGGAACGGGCTAGGAAGCACAGGACTCGAATTGAACTGAGCTGGATTGAACAGCGGCCAAAAAGGGTACAAACTATTTGGTATTAATGAAAAAGTATTCGTATGTGGAACCACGTATGGCTTGGACATCTTCACCGCACTACCCACGGGCTTGAAAGCTGAACTTGGTTCTTCTGAAGACGAATGCGATGCGTCTTCGCTGGCTTGCTTACTGTTAAAGTGTTCTATGGCTTTGAGAAGATCATGGTTACATCTCTTCAACACCAACTCCAACACTGCGCGTTTCTTGTTGGGGAATAGCTTTGCGAGCATATCTATGCTGGCTGGGCTGACGTTGATTTCTTCTTGGCCATTATCTGGAGGTATTTCCGAGTTGCTTTTACAGCTGTCCGGTTCCGGAGACGTCACTTGCATCCCGAAAATTCGACCTGGCGGTAAGTATTCGTAGGTGGTTCCGTTTTCTGCGGACGCTAAGTGCAGTGCTATTGCATCTTCTGCTGCCTGTTGACGTTTCAAAGCCACCTAAAAACAAGACTCCGTCTTACATAATTACATCAAGTAGACTATACAGGGTGTATCAAATTCGACCATCACCATTGAGATCTCGGAAACGGTAAGAGATACGAAGTCGCTTAAATGAGAGCAAAGCTGCGTATTTAGGTAATCAACAAAATGCTGCTTAAAAAAATCGGAATTCAAAGTACTTCCGGAGAGAGACTGAAGAAACGGAATTTGCCCTTAAACGTTTTATTTTTTTCCTGGCTTTATTTGTAGTGGGATTTCAAAATAATCAGTATCACCTTTGTTTTTTCTTATAGACGCCATGTAAGATTTTTACACAGATGTATGCAGTTTTTAATTCCCATTGGAAAGATGAATAATACGTTATACTCGTACATTGACGTTGTCAAACCTTAGTTATTTCGAAAAAGCGGAATTTCCTAGGTTGACCTTGAAATTATCATATAGTCATCTGTTTCGCATACTAGATTTATCTCAAAGTCAGTTTTATGTTTACCTGACTTTATTTGTAATAACAATAATAATTATAAATAAGTGGAGGGAAGTCACAGAAGAGGAAAAAACTCTATTCAGCTGTACAAAAATCCAATATGGCTTATTTAGGGAAAAACAAAGTTGACGCTGGAGGACAAGAGATGTCCTTGGCACAGTAGTAATATTTTGTTTAAGCTTCATTCATTCATTATAAGATTAGCGGGCAGAACGACAGAGAGACCGACAGAAATTATTGACATGGTGGTTGGTGATGTACATGCCACATAACATCCAAACAACATACTCTCAGTTGGTGATCTTGGGTTTAAAATACAGTAATGAACAAAAGTACATAGACAAATCAATATTGCGCTGTATTTCTTTTTTAACTTGTTTTATTAATACACCAGCTTGTATACATAATTCGTTGTAGCATAATATTCACTTATACATAAATAAATTCATTAGACTCCTTTCAATAAAACATTAATTGAAAAAAACTGGAACTATGAAGGACAAGAATATATAGACAAAGCAAAACAATTATAGAAAAAAGAAGCAAAGTTCATTAAATTATAGAAAACCAACCATGTTTGTGTTAGTATTTTGTAGCATAACCATTATTATCAATCACCGCCTGGCATCGTCTCGGCATAGATTGTAGAAGTTTCTTGATATAAGATTCATCAATCTGTCTCCACTTTTGCTCTAAAGCGGAAAAAATTTCATTCTTGTTTGAATAATTTTTATCTTGTATTTGCTGATCTAAGTATACCCATAGATTTTTAATGGGGTTTATATCGGGAGACTGTGAAGGCCTTTTGAGAACTGGTATTTTTTCATCCAGAAAGAATTTCTTTGCGAGATTTGAAGTGTGCTTCGGGTCATTATCTTGCTGGAAGATTGATCTTAAGGGCATATTGTCTTCCATATAGGGTAACATGGCAAGCTTTAGTATGTCAAACTTATCCATAATGCCATCTACTATATGTAAAGGTCCCATTTCAAACCCCGAAAAATACCCCCAAACCATAACAGATCCGCCTCCATGTTTGACAGTGGGCAAAGTGTACTTGGGGTTCAATCATTGTCCACTAGGACGTCGAACGTGATGAAACCATCTGATCCAAACATATTGAACTTGGATTCGCCTCTGAAACATACCCTCTTCCAGTCACAGATGCTCCAATCAAGATGCATCCGTGCAAATTGTAATCGGTCCTTATCGTTTCTCTTCGAGATTAGCGGCTTCCTACTCGGGCGACGTGCAAATAACTTCAAATCTTTTAATATTCTACTTACAGTTTTCGTAGAAACACTGTCAATTCATTTTGTCTCGATTTCGGCTTTTATTTGTGTTGGGATTTTCAACGGATCTTTGGACGAAATTACTTTTATTAATCTAACTGATCTAGCATTTCGTTTTCTAGGCCGACCACTTCTCTTGCTTGCTGCTTTACACTTCAGCTTCAAATTTTTGACGTTGACCATCTTGGTATAACTCAATGATCTTAGTTTTCACATCGAAATAAATTTCTGGACCACTCGGCATGGTCTTAAAATCACTCAATGCTTGATGAACACAACCTAATCCTCTTCTTACACGAAGCTGTACTGAACTAATGTTGAAAAGAATTTGTCTACGTATTTTTTCTCCCTCATAAAAAAGTGCTTATATTCAGACTTGTATTGTCTTCATTGCAGATAATGTAAAAACAAGGAATTTAGTTTTTCTACTAATAACGCATTTGTTTATGGAGCAATGAAGTATGAATTCGCTTTCTAAAGGCATTTAGGTAAATATTCATATTTGTCTATATACTTTTGTCCATTACTGTAGTTACTATAATCTTTAGGTCTGCTAGTCCCGTTCGCTTAACATAGCTTCACAACTTCTTATGCATCTAATGCTGACCGACATGATATCCCCAAGTCGAACATGTGAACAGATTTATTATGCCAAGCTTTTCCAATGAATCCAAATCCGTTTTAATCAAATTATGTCAAATTCAGAGATTTTGAGTACCTACTGTTAAATCTGATCTCAATCCTGCTGCTCAGGTAATAGGCATCTAGTAGTTATAAACTTGTGAAAAGTAGAATGTTGGTCAGTTGCTCCGATTAGGAATCTTTAAATAAGCTAAAAAGCTACTTTCGAGCAGTGGCGTAGCTCGCAAATTCTTACAGAAGAACCATATACACTTGCTAGCGATAATATGGATTGTAAGGATTTGCCATGGGCGCCCACCGGAAGTTTTCTCATTCAGAGGGGGTGGATCATCGGCAAGAGATAAGTTTCTGTAGAAGTGTACTATCCCTCAAAACTATTTTAAGAGCGATGAGTATCAGAATTTTTCGATGCGCGTGGTTACTGTTAATGCAAAATTCAGATAAATGTTTTGTTTTCGATGTCTACAACACATAATGATAATCATTCAAAAGGCTGCGTTATGACTAAAAATTAAAATAGGTCTCAGATTGACACATTGTTTGTTTTTGGCTGCCTTACAAATTTCTGAACATGTCTAAGGGTAATTTAATATTTTTGTGAATATGTTGCAATTTTTAAATAATCGAAAATTTGCTTTCATCTTTTGTCATTGCTTCAGGCTAGGATATTCAAAAACCTTATGGAGCTCTTGGAAAATGAATGCTTTGGAAGTACTGAGCAATCTACTTGCCGCTATTTTTTCCAAAAAAATATTTATTCAACGATCAGTAGTGGATTTTAGTGATTCGAAATTTTCAGCCCCTGAAGACAGTACCATGCTTGATAGTCAAAGTTTCCTCATAGAAGTCCTGAGATGTTTTAATTGCCTTTAATTTCGGAAAGCTTTCAGCTGTTGCAGCCTCTAGCTAAATTATTCTACTATTCTACTATCACCTAGCAGTAGATTCTAAGGTTTATCGCTTGAGAATTTTTAATTTAAGATAAGCCCTGAACACTTGTACGAGATTGAGAAAAACACTTCACGCATTTTTGTTTTCGCACTTGGAAACCTCTGTAGGCTGGGGGCCCCGTATCATTCATACGGCTGCTTCAGAGGCAACCACAGCAAATGTTCTTACAATAAGCACGGTACCTTAAAATATCTCGCCATCAAAAATGTAGATAACCGAGACAACCCACTTGACTCCTTTTTAGATTCACTCTGCATTTTCCTATCTTGCGAAAATATAAACCAACCCCTCGTTCATCTAGTGGTATAGAGAAACTAACTGTCAATCCGCTATGTTTACCCAATGGATACATAATACCCAGTTTAATGGAATATCGTTCAAACACTTGAACCTGCCAAAGTATCAGGTTATCCCCGTTGTTATATATCGAGCTTAATGTACTTTTTCCATTTATCATGTCTCGGATGAATATTGATCAGATTTGCAGTTATAAACCAGTAATATGGGGTTGTCCAAAACGAACGCAGGAAAGTAAACGCATATTAAAACAAGAAAGATTGATATTCAAATCAAGTTGAGTACTTTATTTTGAAGGTTCATCTATACCATTAATGTATGAAAAATAATATCGCTCAAATGTTCACCACGACTGGATTTACAGACGTCCACGCGATGGTCGAAATTTTCAATGACATTTTGCAACATGGTCGGTTCTATGGCATTTATCTCGGCAATGATGTTGTTTTTGAGTTCTTGGAGGGTGGCTGGTTTGTTGACGTAGACTTTGCTTTTCAAATATCCCCATAAAAAGAAGTCCAAGGGAGTCAAATCGCACGATCTTGGTGGCCATGGCACATTTCCTCTGCGCGAAATCACGCGATCACCGAAGAAGGACTGCAATCGATGGATATTGACGTTGGTTGTGTGGCATGTTGCACCGTCTTGTTGGAAATAAACATCGTCCATATCCATTCCTTCAAGTTGCGGCAAAAATAGTCCTCTATCATCACGTGATATCGTTCAGAATTGACGGTAACGGCGTCCCCGGCCGCATTTTCGAAAACGTAAGGTCCGATGATGCCTTTTGACCACAATGCACACCACACAGTCACTTTTTGAGGATGCATCGGCTGCTCTTGATACTCACGGAGATTTTCGTTCGCCCAGATGCGGCAGTTTTGCTTGTTTACCGTCCCATTCAAAGTGAAATGCACTTCATCGCTGAACATGATTTTTGATGAAAAATTGGCATCAATTTGGCGGTGTTCAAGGAGCCAATCTGAGAACGTTCGGCGCGAAAAATGGTCGGCCCGACGCAGCTCTTGCGTCAATTGGATCTTGTAGGCGTGTACATTCAAATCCTTGTGGAGAATGCGGAGCAAACTGGTTCTCGAAATGCCCAATTCTTGGGATCGACGCGTTGTTGATTGTTTCGGATCGTCTCTCACACTCTCCTTCACAACAGCAATATTTTCCGGTGTGCGAACGCTCCTTGGCCGGCCAGAGCCTGACAGATTTGCCACAGAACCTGTTGCCTCGAATTTACGCACCAGACGACCGATGGTTGTTTCGTTTGGGCGGTTGTTGCGACCGAAATGTTCACGAAGCGCGCGAAACGTGTTTTTTATTTTTGCACCATTTTTGTAGTGCTCTTGAATAACTTTAATGCGGTCTTCAATCGAATACGACTCCATAGCGATCAATGGTAAAAATTCAACTAACAAAATGACATGTCAATGACAGAAAACAAAGATGGCGTCTATGTCAAATTGACGTTTACTTTCCTGCGTCCCTATTGGACAACCCGACAATTTTCATCCGTCTGGCCACAAACGCTCAACCATGCACAGCTATTTCATGCTATTTGGCAACTCCTCAGCATGGTCTAGGTTTGGTCTTTGTTCGGACAACGCTGCATAATAGCCGTCTCTATAAATTGATCGAAAAGAACTTCCCATTCTGGCTCCTAAAACCTTGAGGCTAGGAAATTTCGGATCAAAATTGAAAATATTCCGTGGACGACATGGACCATCAGAGCCGGTGTCCCTCAGGGTCAGGTTCTTGGACCAATCCTTTATTTGCTTTATATTCATGACGTGCCTTGCCCCAACAACTGTGTCAAACGGCTGTAACCAACCAGGTGAAGGCTATTCCAGTATCGGAGTTCCATCATTGCTATCAGGAGTGGAAGAGCCATTCTCTAGCGCTGTATGGCTTCAGAAGGAGATTATTTTGAAGGTGACAATATAAAATTGTAATTATGAATAAAACAATTAAAAAAAACAGAATCATCACTTAATTTACAGACCTCGTATTTTTTAATGCTTAATAAAATTTTGTTCCGTACATAAAATCATAAAAGTATCTAACAGGAAGCGGCACGTCGTTGAAAGTACAAATTTTATCTACGACATTAATATCAAAAATAGCATACATAGCTTTCACATTCATAATTCATATTAGAGATCTAAAATAAGTACCTGAGCTGCCATAATCCTTTGGCGTTCTTTTATAAGTCCGCATTTTTTGCATGTGCAGTTTTTGTAGATGCATTGCTTCTTGTGTCCTCTCAGTGTAGATATCATACCATGATTCCGGCATCTGGCACACTTGGGCACCCGCATTGGCTTTGCGATATTATTGGAGGCCATATCTACAAGAAAACAGATACCGTCAATAAAATTTGAAATAGCTAGGATGTATGATACTTTTAGTATAGATTACAGAAGACAGGATGGCCTGTTAGCCTTAACGTCACTGCGACTCAAATAGATTCATTGTTATCCCCATAAACACCTTCTAAAGCACTGTGTAAAGCCTTGATCCTTTAATCAAACTCCATAGCCTTGACATAGGACTAAGATTTCCTCGTGCTCTCTGCATGTGGCCTCTTGTGTCAGACCCCAGAGCCTTGAGCTGGTCCTCTGTAAATGCGGGCCTTCGTTTTTGATGAACTATTTTGCATGTCGTTGCCCCAATACCTTTAGTAGTATAGCTTCCATCCGTCCGACGACAGACGGATAACCGTGATATTTGGTAACTCGTCGGCATGGTCTAGGTTTGGTCTGAGGTAAGACAATGAACGAATGCTGAGCAACTATCCTCTATCCAGAATATGAGGTGTATGGCTATTTGTAATCCTAGCTCACCTAGCTAAGTTTAAGGTGAGCTAAATTGTTTAGTCTTCCTCTAATAAACGGAACCAATTTTGCAAAAATAGTTTTCATTAAGTCAAAATAAACATTCTGATATACTAAATAGGATATAAGAGCAATGTTACGAGTACTGTTATTGTAAAATAAAAGCCTTTCAAGATGAAAGCTCCACAACTCTCGACAACATCGCAAGTCCCCGCTTAAGAAATTTTAAAAGCGCTATAATCAACTATGTAGCACATAAAGCAATAAAAGCTTGATCTAAATGAGGAATCAGAGGGGAGCCTAAGCAATTTTTTCAGAGGAAACAGTTCACGAAATGGATGTTCCTAATATACTGGAGAGCATAACTATAGGCCCCTCCAACAATGTTCGTTACTTGTCTAGTTGGTTTAAACGCCCTTTGGTAGGAGTAAGGCTCGAAACTGATATCTAAGTAAAATAAATATTAGCGTAAGACATGAAAAAATCATTCTACAGGGTGTTTCAGTTTATTGTTGCATAACTTTAAGATTCGATAGAACTTTTAAAATTAGTGCATAAAGTCTATATAAACATAGGTCGAAAAATGCGTGGCTTCCGAAATACAGGGTGTTTAAATTTACTTTCTAAAATAGTTTTTTTTAAATATTTCGAACAATATTTGATGTACAATAGTGAAAATTGGTATACAAGGGTTTTTTGGTACGACAAAACGAACCATGTGCATAATTTTACTGTAGCCGCTAGAGGGCGCTCTCTACTGTACCTGTAGTGTATTAAAATGACCGAAAAAATTTTCTTAGTACAATTTTTTGCTTTTTGAATAGAAAAGCTGATTATTCGCACCTTTCTGCATAAAAAAGCTCTCTTGTGAATTTTCGTTATAGTTAGCCGTTTTTGAGATATTTCGATTTTTAAGGTTCGATGCATTTTTAATTATTTATGATAAAATAACGTTAAAAAGTCAGTATCTCGATAATTTTTAGAAGTAGGCTGTTCCTGCAAATATTTTTGAAATTGAAAGCAGAATAAGGTTAAACGTCAATTAGTTAACAGTTAGTTTTGTTGTCTGTTGAAACCTGAAACGTTTTTTTGCAATTGTGAATGCACGAAATTTAGTTTCTTTTACCTGTTTTTTTTTTTTGTAAATTTTATAAAAATGCCATTTTTATTCTCCAATCATGATTTTGTGTGTGGCTTTGTAAATGGAAACGCAGCAGAAGCAGCCAGAGAATACGCACGAAGATTTCCAAACAGACGACATCCAACTCGCTCAGTATTTGTAAGAGTTCATCGCCAAATAATTGAAAATGGTTTTGGAAATGTCCAAAGGGATCAAAACATGAATGTTCGTCAGCGCAGATTTACCCGTATGATTCTGCGTGAGTTTGATAGAGATCCGACCACAAGTGTTAGGAGAGTTTCTGGTGCCTTGGGAATTTCAGCAAGCCATGTTCACCGTGTGCTTAGAAATGACCATAGACGTCCTTACCATTTGCAACCTGTGCAAGGACTACAGCCAGGGGACGGAGAATGAAGTATCACATTTTGTCAGTGGATTCATGATAGAACTGATAATAATAGGGAGCTTTTAAGTAACGTTTTATGGACCGATGAGTCATGCTTCACTAGACGTGGAGTGGTAAATTTTCATAATCAACATATTTGGTCGCATGAAAATCCGCATGCAGTTCGGGAAAGAAATTTTCAGCATGAATTTAGTGTGAACGTGTGGATTGGAATCTACCGTAATCGACTATTTGGACCCTACCTTTTGCCTGCAAGGTTAAATGCTGCGCCTTCTTGGAATTGTTAAAGGCTGAACATGCAAATATGTGGGATGATGTTATGTTAGATTTAAGAAGATTGGCCTGGTTCTAGCTTGATCGTTGTCCAGCTCATTATTCGAGAATAGTTAGAAACTGGCTGGACGAAAATTATCCAGAAAGATGGATCGGCCGTGGAGGACCAGTCGCCTGGCCTCCACGATCACCTGACCTAAATCCATTAGATTTCTTTGTGTGGGGATTTCTAAAAGAAAAAGTGTACCAGACTCCCGTAACCACAAGAGATATGCTAATAGACAGAATCAGGAATGCATGTGATGAAATAAGACCTTATTTGAATAATGCTATACCACGTTCGATCATTCGTAGATGTGAATTGTGTACTGAACAATTGGGTTTACATTTCGAGCAACTACTTTAGATTTTGTATGTTTGTCCTAACTATCCAATAGCATTTTAGTTATAAATAATTAATTTAATTTGTTAAAAATAGTATTGGAAAATTAAACAAATTAATATTCTGTTTTTTGTGTTTACTTGGAGTTAGGAATTATTGCTGTGTTTAAAAACACAATCTAAACGATCATCTTAATTACTTGTAATGCATAAATCAAAAATGTAAAAAAAAATATTATTTTCCCATAAATAATTAAAAATGCATCGAACCTTAAAAATCGATATATCTCAAAAACGGCTAACTATAACGAAAACTCACAGGAGAGCTTTTTTATGTTGAAAAGTGCGAAGAATCAGTTTTTTTATTCAAAAATCAAAAAATTGCACTAAGATAAATTTTTCGGTCATTTTAATACCCTACAGGTACAGTAGAGAGCGCCCTCTAGCGGCTACAGAAGAACTGTGCCCATGGTTCGTTTCGTCGTACCAAAAAACCCTAGCATACCAATTTTCACTGTTATACATCAAATATTGTTCGAAATATTTAAAAAAAAAACTATTTTAAAAAGTAAATTTAAACACCCTGTATTTCGGAAGCCACGCATTTTTCGACCCATGTTTATATAGACTTTATGCATTAATTTTAAAAGTTCTATCGAATCTTAAAGTTATGCAACAATAAACTGAAACACCCTGTATAAGAAGGTACCAATTTCATACAGAAGTTTGTCTATGATTTTATTTAAAAAACAGTGCGTATGACTGTATATGCAACACACAAATTTAAACTTGTTTTTCAGTGTATACAACAGCTTTTCATTTCAGTTCTTTTTTAACTCTTTTTGGATCAAGTGGAAGAAGTGGAAAGCGGATCTTTCTATACGGTAAAAAGATCCGAATTCTGCGGTTGTTAGAAAAACAGCCAAAATTTGTTGAAGTTTTATGGAATGTAATTCTGTGTATTTTGTGTGTGCTCATTTTGGCAATAAAAGCCATTTATTATTATTTATTATTAAATATCTTAGGTACAGCGATGAAATTGTTGAAGCAATTAGAATCAGCTCCATATTTTTTTTCATTTTTGGTTGTTTCACCATGCCTGTAAGTTATATAAAGTTACAATTGAACCGAGCGAAAGAAAGCAGAAAGCTGGTAGCCCTATAGTTATGCTTTGCAGTTTATACGTAGCACTTCCACCATTTTTAAATATATGAGTTCGTTCACCATATTTGACAAATATGGGGGTAGCTGTTCATCAGTTTTCACATAAGTATAGATCTTTAAAACGGAAGAAAACACAAAGGAATCGACATTATAGTGCGGTATCAGAGACCTAACATCCTACTAGTAATAATTTTAAGCGTACTGGTGCCCCAGTTGACTGGGAAACCAGTTTTCGATTACCGAATGTCGGTATGTATATATCGGCATATCGGTCCAATTTGCCGATATCTGAGTCGTACATACCCATGCCGATGTAGGTTGGACGATATAAACTACGAAGTTAAAAACATTTAATATCAATGAAACAGTGAATATCTTACCTGGTCCTCCTCCCTTTATACGTACTTACACATATAAGCCCACACTTCACCCTACAACCCACTCACACCATCACAATGAAAACGTTACACCCGGTTGCACTTCAAAAAATTCCGTTACTCAGCCTACTCACACAGAGAAACCGCATCAGATAATAATATTGCGTATCTTCTAGAAATCTAACAGATTAGGCGTTTCTCCGGTATGGATACAGGACGCAGCATCCGAGTAGGCTGGTCCAGACCCCCCGGATAGCGTACGGATAAGCCAATGGGAGACCGCGACTGGATGAAACAATTGAAGTCGACGCCCACTCACTCGATTTTCAGGAGCATCACGTTTTGATTTTGATATAGGCGTTTCATGGAGCGTTATGGATTTTTTCAAGTATCCAGTATCCAGTGCTGGTGTAATCAACACAGCTTTTTACACTTACATACAGATATCGGATTAAATATAATCACGATCATTACTTTACCAATCAAATAAGATGAAGATTGCACACCTCAATGTTAGGTCCTTATTTACTGGCTCCAATTTGTAATGAATTTGGTTATAATTGAGAATTTTGATATTTTTGCTGTGAGTGAAACTTGAATCAACGGTGCGGTAGATCCTTCCTTGATAAGCAGATTACAGATTAACTAGAGGTGATGGTGTAGGCGTTTATTTCAAAAACAACATTAATGTTACCATAGCGCATCAATGTATTAGCTCAAGGAAAGGAATTATGGATAAATCTGAAATTGCAATCAAAATTGTGCTTAATAGGTGTCATGTATAAGCCTCCTAGTTACAACATAACAAAAACATTCGACTTTCTAGAATCTTCTCTGGCAACTTTGCTTCCAGATTCAGATTCCGCTATATTATTAGGAGATTTAAATATAAACATGTTTGCTAATTCACCTGCTAACGATATTCTATTGTATTTGCTGGAATCCTTTGATTTAAAACAAATTGTTAATGAGCCTACGCGCTTCACAGGGCTTTCGAACACTCTAATAGATTTGATTATCTGCTCTAAAGACCAAGACACTAGAGATGTTTAAAGTTTTACCGTCCCACAATATCTCGGATCACTGTATCATTAAATGCGGAATTACTACTGCACTAATCCGTAACAAAGTTAGACATTTTACCTTCCGTGATTTCAAGCTTTTTGACCAGCAAAAATTCCTTGAAATGTTTTATTTGGTTCATTGGGATCAGATATACAACATTCAAGATGCGAACGAAATGGTATGTTTTCTGAATGATAACGTGAATAGACTTTTTGACGTCAGTGCACCAGTAACGACTGTTAGGATATCAAAGCCTCCTTGTCATGGTATTGTCGTTTTGGGCCTGTTTTTTATTTTTTGAACACTTTCATCATTATCATCGCTGTCACCATCATCATCATCATTATCGTTATCATCGTCGTCGTCATCATCTGTATCGTCTTCTAACTTTAGCTTTCTCGTTTTGCTTGTTATCCTTGTCTTAGATCGATAATGCTTTTTTGTTCTGTCATCATCGTCATCACTCTCATCACTTAGCTCGTTCTTTCGCTTTGCAGCCATCAGCTTATCCTTTTTGCTTATTATTCTGCTCTTTATTTTCTTCTGTACGTTTGTTGTTTCATCACTATCATCGTCATCGTCATCTTCTTCGCTATCCTTATCATTCTCTTGTTACTTATCTCTAGCTTTCAGTTTTCCTTTGCCTCCTATTATTCTTACTTTGGAAATTCTTTGTTTCTCTTCTTCATCATCATCAGAATCATTAGCATCGTCATCATCTTCTTCATTATCGTCGTCAGCATCTTCGTCATCGTTATCATCATCTGCATCGCTATCCTCGTCCTCATCATCGTCATTTTGTCCTTTTTTAGCTCTTCCTTTGTTCTTTTTGCTTATTATTCTTGTCTTTGGCCTATTCTGTTTATTTGTAGTGAATAGATGTTTAATTTTCTTGTCTTCCTCTTCATCATCGCTGTTGTCATCATCATCGTCTCCATTACCTTCATCTTCATCATCATCAGCGTTGCTATCTTCATCTTTGCCTTTATCTTTAACATTTTTAGTGTTTCCTTTGTCCTTTCTGCCTACTATCCTTGTCATTGGTTTGTTTTGTTTGCTTGCAGCAAGTGAGGGTTTAATTTTACTGTCTTTCTCATTATCATCGTCATCACTGTCTACATCTTCCGCTTGATCGTGTTCATTTTGTTGTCCTCTAATTCACTTTTTGCTTTTATTGCCTATTACTCTTGTCTTTGGCGTATTTTGATTGTTACTTCTTTTTTCATCATCGTCGCCATCATCATCATCATTATCGTCATCAATATCTTTGCCAATACTCCTTGACTTTTCATATTTTGTTTTGCCTTTTCCAGCACGACACTTTACATCAGTCTGACTCTTTCCGCTAACAACTTTAACTTTCTGTTTAACTTGATCGTCTTCATCACTATCGTTATCATTATCTCTCGCATTTGCCTTAACGATACTTTTAGTTCTTTTCTTTGCTGAGCCGTCAACATCGCCGTCATCAGATTCTCGTTTATCTGTCTTACTGATGATTCTAGTTTTGTTTTTATCCTCATCACCTTTACTCCGAAAATCGGCGACATTTCTTTTATCATCTTCTTCTGAGTCATTATCGTTTCGTTTAGACTTCTGTCCTTTATTCGATTCGCCTTTTTTGGTGTTTTTTTCTGTCTACGTGTTTCCTCATCGTCGTCATCATTTCGATGAAGCCTATTGAGTACGCTCTGTATGTTTTCTCTCATCCGTTCAAAAAACGCTTTTCGTGGTTCATCTTCATCTTTAGCCAACTTGTTAGCGCTCTTTTTGTTCTGTTTTTGTCTCTGTTCAGTTTCCCTAATCGTTTCTGTTAATCGATCCTCAAGATCTTTGCCTTTGTTATCCTTCTTGGATAACCTGGAAGATCTTTGTTCTTGTTCTTCGCAGCCTTTACTTTTGCACGTATTTTCGTTATCACTGACATATCGATGCTTTGTACCATGAAAAAATGATGATAATACAATACAATAAGTACAAGCAGAATAAATCGGTAGGCAAGTGGATTTTCTATAAAGAAATGCGCAATGAATTTGCCAAGGCTATCAATAGGGAGACAAAAACCTATATGGAATTCATCCTGTCAAAAAATTATTCTAAAGCTACCTGGAGCTGTCTTCGAAGACTTAGCTTTATCAGCAGCAATTTGAGGGAGTTACCTCGCCATCAATCGGGTTTCAGGAAAAACCACAGCATGCCTATTGTTACTTGATTATACAAAGGCTGTTGATACTCTGGAACCATCTATTCTTTTGAAAAAGCTTATATATTTTGGTTTTTCGGAATCTACAATTAATTTTGAATTAAGTTATTTCCCTGACAGGAGTCACACGGTTGTGATTGGGTCAAGTATCTCGGAGGAGATTCCAGTTAAACTAGGGGACCACACGGTTCCATTCTGGGACCATTATTGTTCTCTATTTACATTTCTGACTTCCACGAGTACGTTGAACACTGCAGTATTCATCACTATGCTGACGACACTCAATTGTACTTTGGCTTTGATATTAAAATTTTGAAAAATGGCGAACATTTGATCAATAATGATTTGATGAATTTACCTAACGTATCTTGTGCCCATAATCTCAAAATTAACCCCTTAAAATCATCCGCAGTTATATTTGGACCAAAAATCAAAAAAAGTCAGGCAAAACCATTACTATCATTGATCATTGTAGACCAACCGATCCCTATAAAAAATGAGTGCAAGAAGTTAGGACTCTGGATTGATTCTGATTTAAGGTTTGAAAAACATGTTAGTCAACTGTGCCGAACATTATTCGGTGTCTTGAAGCAATTATTCAGACTTCAGACTATTCAAAATGCGTGTCTCAGATTTGCTTGTGGAGTGAGAAAATTTGAGACAGTATCACATAAATATCGTGAGCTGGGTGTTCAAAAAATAGAAGAGCTACAAAAAATGCACGTATTGACCTTGACCCATAAGGTAATCACAACACAAGCCCCTCCATATCTATCAACCAAATTTATCAGATACTCAGATGTTAATCAACTGCACACAAAGAATAAGCATATCTTGGTTATCCCGAGACATTCAACATCTCTATTTGAAGGGTCGTACATATATGTACTGCTATCAGGCTATACAACGCATTACCTACCGTGTTCACTCACTACTCTATAAAGAATTTTAAACAAAGATTGAAGCATTTTATCTCTGATTTCATTGCCCAGTGAGTGGAGCATGGCCATGAATAGGGACTCGTTATAGGTTTTTTTTTACTTTTTTATTTTCATTGGGATTAGAAAATGTACACAAATATTTTTTGGAATAAGTTGAAAAACGCTTTTTAGCGACATTTCGCCTTTTCATACTTTGTATAAATAAAGCCGGATTATTATTATTATTATAAATCAAAGTACATTACTGAGCTTGAAGCCCAAAGCGATATTCCAAAAATGAGTTCAACAAGTAGCTGTAAGCCTATCAGCTAACGGATGCCTCTTTGAAAGCTGAGCTCTCCCACTGCATCTATCTCTACTTTTCTTTCACAAGATCTCAAGAGACAGTTTTGATAGATTTGTTTGTTGTAAAAAGTGTTTTAATATACAAAGTGTTTGGGTTGGTGATAGGGCAGACCATTTAGAATCTTTTAAGCCAATAATACCTTAGTTCAAAGACTTACGGTTTCCGAGTTATTCGAGATTTTCGATTTTTATTGAAAAAAATATGCCTTTTGTTCCTGGTATCACTAAAAGATCATCAGGCTATATGCAATAGTTTTTAAATACCTGACAGTGTGGTTTTTTCTCCGAAGGTAGAGAAAAGAAAAACAAATACTGTAAATAAATAATAAATACATGTTTTCCTATTTTGTGATACTGATAAGAAGAAACATGTTTGCGTACATAATAAAACTAAATTCCACACATCCTTGCATCATTTGTTTCCAAACAGGTCAATAGTAATTCATGAATTTCAGTCCAAAAAGCCTGAATTAATTAGTTTGTAAAATGCCCGCTTTCACTAACGAAGAATAGGCAGATATCGTTTACATGTATGGCAGAGCAGATGGTAATGGACTAGAAGCACGACGGTTGTACTAAGAGCGATTTCCTGAGAGAAGATTGCCTAATGTCAGAGTGTTTTACAATACCTACCTACGTCTTTACGAGACTGGAAGTGTAACACGTAATGAACCTGGTGATATCCTCCTGAAGCCGAAGATCTAATCCTCCAAGCATTTGAAGATGATCCCACTACAAGACTACAGTATATTCAGATAAGAGATAGACCGGATGTAAACAAAAGGTTCGGGTGATTTTCACGCTAACGCCGCCGTCTCGACGTAAAACAGGAGCCCTCATTGGTCAATTCGCAATTAAATGCCTATGCCGAGCGGCAGAGCAGTCGTATCAAGGCAGAGTCACATTCAGGTTCAGACGTGTTACGTATGTCGTGTGCATCATTGCAATTTGATATTTCTTTGGACGTTTTCGTTTGTTATCTTATTAAGTTGTTGAGTTTGTCGTTGTTATTGTTATACCGTGTTATTGATTGTTATTGTTATCAACTACTTGCGCAAAATGCCCAGTAGTACAGATACTGCCGATGAAGTTGTAAACTCCTGTAGTCCACCTAGGAAACGCTCTAAAAAAAGACACCTGAGTGCAGAAATGAAAGAGGTCATTTTGAATATATATAAGATCGAGCGCGAGGAGAACGAGGCATCAACCATCAAAGAAATTGTTGTGAAGGTTTCTCACAAAGTTGGGGTGTGTCGCGCATCAGTGTTTAATGTGTTAAGACAATACAAACAAAATGACACCTTTTCTGAGCCAATGACCAGTAAACATCGTATTGTTAAATCATTGGATGAAGCTGATAAGCATGCAATTAGGAGGAAAGTGCACGAATTCTTCTTTAGGAATGAAATACCTACTATAGATAAAGTACTGCAGGAGGTAAATGGAGATACAACGTTGCCAAATTTCAAACGATCATCTTTCCATGCGTTACTGAAGCATTTAAATTTCAAATGGAAAAAACGGGGTCGTAATAGTTTACTACTGGATAGAGAAGAAATTGTGCTATGGAGGAGGGATTATTTAACAAAAATTGGGAAATATAGAAATCAAAACAGGAAGATTTATTACCTTGATGAAACATGGGTAAACGCAGGACACACTACAAGTAAAGTATGGGTTGATGATTCTGTAACTTCATCCAGGAGGGCCTTTCTAGATGGACTGTCCACCGGATTAAAAAATCCAGCAGGTAAATACGAGTAATGGACAACAATCGGATGTTTTTCAAACCTTGGGAACAAGGTTCTAAACATTAATTCCAGGGGGCAGATAAAACATATTACAAGTAACAAAACTTTTATAACTTTCGATAAAATGCGTGGATGTTTTATTGTTATTTTCATTTGTTAGAACTTTTTTAAGCCATGTTTTTATGTGTTTTCGATATTTCAATAATTTTTTAATATAATCTTAAAATATGTCGAATATTATAAACTTAAAAAAAGTTACTAAGTTTTATATTGTGTACTGTTCCTAATATTTCTAATCATTTTAATTCATACTTTAAGCTTTATAAAGTTATAATTTGTTAATATTAATATTTGCGCGTATTTCAGGTTCCTGATCATTCATTTTTTAAAGGTTTATAACTTTAAATTAAATTGTGAAGCGCTGAGTAATCATACGACGTTCAATATTCTTTCTTTCAATATGACTAAATAATCCCAATTATAGCAATCTGATACTCATGTCTCAATGTTTTTTCGCTGAATGTGATGAAAACATTTGAAAAAGGTTCCCTTATTGAAATAAATCTACACCAGTTAGTACTTCGATTTCCAGGTAAAGGGAAAAGGCTCATTATCTGCCATATTGGCAGTGAGGATGGATTTGTTGTTGACGGTCTGTGGTGATTTGAGTCTAAGAAAACTGGGGATTACCACGAGGAAATGAATGGCGAATCGTTTGAACAGTGGTTTTCAAAAATTTTACCGAACTTAGAGGAAAACGCAGTAATTGTGTTGGATAATGCGCCTTATCATTCTCAAAGA